ACAAAGACGCTGGCAGTGGCTTGCAGACGTGGAAATTATAGCCCTGGCCTCGTGCCTCCACCCTCCTAACGTGGACGTTGTTTCTGTTTTTAAACCTGAAGCGTTTCCTACTCTGTCCCAGCGTTACCTTTCAGGGAGAAAATGGGGTTTCTTTTAAAACGTAATGCAGTTTAGCTGTATAGGAATGTCATTTCTTGGGGGGACATGGTTGCGATTTGACACATCATAGCATGTGAATCATTCTCGCTGTGAATCACCTTTAGTCTCAGAACCAGGACGCTAAACCATGAAGCTCAGGGCGCGATGAAAGCATGATACTGTCGAGCTTGAAGACCATGCGAATGCCACACACTTGGTGCCTGTTGTGCGCCTGTAGTCGTTCACAGTGTGTTTCCTGCAGGATGTCAAGCAGATTTGAAAGGTTCGGACCAGCGTGTCAAATGCCAAATGAGTGTGTGTCCACTCTCTGCGGCTGTACTGCTTTGAGCTAAATAAAAAAAAAAACACCCTGATGTGAAGCAGCTACAATGCTGCAATTACAATTAGCACAAAGTAGAATATCCTCTATTAGTGGCTATTATGGTTTTAAACACGTTTCCTGTTCTCAGGTGTTTACTACAGCTAGCATCACTTAGCGCCGGCTCATTCCGTTCCACATAATTGCAGTGTCCACCTGTCGCTCTGCAAAGTGTATCTCGCCTTCAAAACCAATTTTGGGTGCAAAAAAATAATCTTTCCCTGGCTGCACGGATTGCCTTCAAAAAGAAGCAACTGGTGCCAGTAAAAAAAGCTGCTTTCATAATTTTCACACAGTTTTGCTTTTATCCCCGTGTTTACAGCGAGCTTTTAGAAGAGGGAGGATCCAGCAGCACTCTGTTCTCTGTGTCCAGACAGTCGCCGAAGCTCGCTTTTAATGTCTGTGTGTGTGTCTGAGTTTGCATCTGAATGAGCAGAATTTGTCCTGTTTCGCTGCAGGTTCTCCCTGGTGCCGGGACTCCACCCAGACTGGATGCTCATGCTGTTCTTCGCTCACACTCACCTGACTGTGACCGTGACTCTGGGCCTGCTGCTGGTTCCAAAGGTGAATATTTCACAGCTTGTTCAGCCCTCGTCAGCTGTTGGTTTTCTGGGCTGCTCGTCAATAATCAACACTCACAGAGCTCCTCCACCAAAGCCAGAGCTAAAAATATCACATTTTGTCACCACTAATGGGACTTTTTTGATCGCAAAATAACCGCCAGCATTTACGGCACAATATATGTTTCAGAGCAGCGTGGAAAATAACTTTTACTCAAGTGCTGCTCTTATGTGAACGATTTCAGGGTACTTTTCCATTTTCTGCCACATTATTCTTCTCCTCCACTGCCTTTCTTATCCAGCGTATCGCAGAGCTGTGATGCTGGACACTGTGCTTCGCCCCAGGAGCCTTGATAATCTTCAGATTTCATTGTCCCCTGCACAGCCCTGTGACACCTCCCAGCCTCCTCCATGTCTCACAGTGGGGAAGGTGTTCTCTTCTTTGAAAGCTTAAATTTTTTTTCTTTTTTTTTCTTCCACGAACACAGAGCTGATGTGACTCGCCGAGATGCTCCGATTGCGTTTCATCTGTCTAAAGAACTTTCTCCCAGAGGCATTGTGACTTGTCAGCACACATTTTTAGTGAAGCCTTGTCGGACTTTTTTTTAGATTTTTCTCTTTCAAAAGTCGGGTCTTTGTTGCTCTTCTCACACTTTCATTCAGAAAACAGCGTTTGATGCGGCGTGACCAGACGCTGCTGTACCTTGATCGTAGAGGTCAGCTTGTGTGTGTTTTGAAGTGTTTTTTTTTGGGTTTCTTTTTCCACCTTTCAAACTGTCCTCCTTCACAGTCTGGTCTGCCTGAAGTTCTTAATAAGACTCACAGCTGTGGTCACAAGAACATCAGGCTGCTTGAAGTTTCTCCTGCAGTCTTAACCTTGATAACCATCTGCAGTTATTTTCCTCCCTATCTCCCTGGAAAACTCTCTTTTCTTTTCTTTCTCTCGTCCGTGTTTAGTACGGTTTCACCCAAGCCGATCGATGAGCGCTTCTCTCCATTAACATAAACTGAACGACTGAATGATTACGAGGTAGAAGATATTAACCAACAACTGTAGTCTGCTTAGTTCTTATTTAAGAGCCTGACGGATGCACTTTGTGTCCAAATTGTGTGTTTATGGCAGCACAGTGCAGAACATGTTACATGAAACTGCACAACTTAACCTTTCTAACAATGCTAGTAGCTTATCTGTGCAATAATATGCCAGCCAGCAAAAGTGAATTTTGAATCAACTTTAATCAACAGCTGTGCATTTATCTCTGCACCCTTTGATGTGGTTTGAATAACTCATGAACTTTTCTCAGGTATGTTAATGTGTATATTTGTTCTTATTGATGCAATGATATGTTAATATAATATCACAAGGAAGGATGGAACTGGACCTTTGTAGTTATGTTTGTTGCACATTTGTACCTACTGAAATAATCGTGTTATGAAGACATATCCAACCCACCAATGTCTTTACCCACTTTCACACTCCTGCTTCTTGTCAGAATAAATTAGTGCTTTTTGCTTCACATATCAAAATAAACAGCTGCTCGTACCCTTTCTGATGATATGAACGAAGTAGCATTCAATATCATGGCCAGTTAATAAATCTGGTTTGCTATGGTTGAGTCATAGAATGCATATAAAAGATGGATGTAGCCGTAAACCTGCAATCTCTCCAACAGCCAGCAGGGGGCAACGCCTCTGCCTGTAAAAACCTGTATAGAAGTCAATGAGAAAATGACCAAACTTCTCATTTCTTCTGCTACTTCAGTGAATATTTTCCTAATGAGTTTATGGTCTCTCTCAATAGTTTTAAGTCTCCTTCAATACAGCATGATGTTTATTTTAGAGATTATGGTTCCATTTAGAGTAGAATTGAAGATAAAAGAGGGTATATTTTAGGGCGGGGCAACTTAGTGGCTTCAAGTTCGGAGTCAGTATGTACGAAAAATGAACACAAAATACTGGATTTGCTTTTCATTGCAAGGATTTAAAGGTTGTGGTGAAATAATGAACATGAGCAAAAAGTCGTGATCTTAAACGCTATAGTCCTCTTGTTTGGGTGTGAAGGGGCAAGAATGTTGTCTGAGAAGATTCTCAGTCATCCACGTCCTGGATATTCTCGTAGTTTAATCGTAGAAACTGAACTTGCTTGAAGACGTTTCAACTCTCATCCAAGAGGCTTCATCAGTTCTGACTGACTAGTTGGGAGTTCCAGATACTTATATCCTTAAGGAACCATTAGCACTTGACAGAACATTATTTTTCTAACTTCAATAGAGTATCCCACCATCATGGTTCTGACAATGCCAGATTCCAGACAATCTGCCCTACACAGGTATGAAAAGACCTCTACTGCCAGCATTTTATGGTTAGATACACATAAAAACAGAGATTTCATTATACAAAACATATCGATGCAAAGGCAAATATGAATTTAAAAATAAATAAGACACAGCCTCTATGACCAGCCTTTATAAAGACCAGGATAATAGCATAGATGTAAAGTGGTAGTAAAATCACCCTGAACAAAGCCCAGGGGCTCATGGGGTTAAGTTTCTGAGGGTTATTAATAACTCTGTGCATCCCATTTTGGAAGATCTCTGTAAAATAAGCAAGAATTGTTTTATTCTGCGGCTGACCAAAGGCATGCATGACAAAGATCTTTTAATCCCTTAAGCCCTGGGCCAAATGAACAACCGCAGGCTCTATGGATGAGAGACACTCGGGAGAATTTTAAAATGGCACAAGTCTGCCTAACCTTATCACCGGAGCAGAGGGAAACTGGAAAAGCTCTATTTACATTTTTACTTCTGCCTAATCAAACCTGGAGGTTTGAGAGTAAATAACATCCTTTTACCAAGTAGTCAGTAAACACTGGTGGTATTGAACACGTAAATATATGTATACTGTATATTGTACGAAGATAATTATAGTAATTTTAATTGGGAAAACAAAAATCCCTTCAATGCTCTCTGATTTTTTTCCCATGAGCCCACTGTGAGCGAGTGTCTAAACAATAGCACCAACTGTAATAATTTAGCACAAAATACATACAAAACCTAAATTAAGCTGCGTTTTGAATGTGCCTATTTTGTCTACAAAGTGGATTTAAGAAGACATTTGAATATTCCTTTGTTATGAGAGCGTTTGTTAGAAAATCCGGCTTTTGTTATGAAGGTTATTGCATCCGAGGAGATTTCCACAGTGACTGCCGCTGCACTGTAGCTCGAGCACACAACAATTCATTAATCATCTTAAGTTCATTTGATATTAGCCATCTGAAACGCACAGAGACGTACGCCGGCGCGTTTGCTACCATTACCTTAAACTCAATCAAACTGCGTTAGTGCTTATTGTAATTTAGCTAAGTACACCCGCGGGGGTCTTTATGTGCGATCTCTCAAGTCTGATGGAAAACATTTAATTCTCCCGCTGTGTGAGAAATGCAATACACCATCAGCGCTGCACGTTCTTTCATTCTTTCTTAATTAGGCACCTCAGAAGTGTACACTGGGATAATTAAGCACAATGGGAGGACGTTAATCTTATACAGCGTCTTCTCCTGAAACTGGGCTACGTTTTTGTTCTTTTCTTGGTCCCTAGACTTGTTGTTGTTCAAACAAAGGCTTAACAGTTTGACCGTGAAAATCAGATCTAACCTCTGCTATTTGTTTTATCCTAACAACGCACGCTCATTTCACCTTTTGTTTCTGCACTTTGGATTTCAAATGAGGACGTGATAAGTACCTGTGAACACTGAGCTGCATGAATTAGAATTTGTTACACACACTGTGCATAGTTATATGGAACAAAATACATAATGAGTGTTTAAAATTAACATATAATCAAACTGTGCTGTGGTGCTTGTAGTGTTCTTTATCAGAAATAGTTTTCCTCATCTTATCTCTGCTCTTTTATCTGCTGTAGAACTAGTTGATGTTGCTGGATTTCACCTCCAGAATGTTGTCCGCTAATGCTAAAATTAGCATAAAACACAATTTATTGGTAATCACTGACTGCAACAATCAATAATATATGAAATGAACATTAATGTCTCAACGTGTGCATTTGTTCACATACTGCAGTTTGTATTTTTGGCAAAATAAAATGAATTCATATGCATATTATCTCCATTAGCAAGCGTTTTGCTGCAAGAAAATCTTGTTCACCTTCGATGACATCTTATGTAATAGAAATACAATCATAATAAACTTCCCCTTGTTCATGTTTTTTCCCTTTGCCCATTGGCTGGTTAATGATGTCCTTTCACCTCTCCCTCCATCTGTTTTAGTTCTTCTCCAAAGGGACCCAGGCCAGGGACGACATTGCCACCGAGGCCTATGAGGAGGAGCTGGACATGGGAAGATCTGGCTCGTACCTCAACAACAGCATCACCTCGGCCTGGAGCGAACACAGCTTGGACCCCGAGGATATACGGGTGAAGTAGCACTCAGAGTCACGGACTGATATTAAATCTATTTCACCATGGTTTAGGTGTAGACTGTAAAAAATGACCCTTAAACCTGCATTCTTTCTAACAGCCAGCAGGGGGCGACTTCTTTGGTTGTAGAAAGAAGTCAGATTGTATAGAAGTCTATGAGAAAATGACCCGACTTCTCACTTGATCTGCTGCCTTAATAGACACTTTCCTATTGAGTTTATGGTCTTCATTGCCAGTTTCAAGGTTCTTTGAAGACGGCATGATGTTTTTTAAAAATCTGGTCCTACTTAGAGTAAAACAGAAGATAAAGCAGGGTTAGGTATTAGGGCGGGGTTACTTGCTGTCCTCAAGGTCCGACTCAGATCCACCTCCCACTCATTATATGTGGATTCAATGACCAAGATAACGATGGCCAGATGTCAAACTCGAGGCTTCAAAATGGTAGACAACAAACTAATGGGTAACGCCGCGGTGGCTAGTTCCATTTCGTATATGCAGTCTATGGGTTTAGTCTATGGGTGCACTTGCTCATGCTGGACATATACACAATCTATCTACTCAAGCAGGTGTAACATATTAAGAATTCAATTTAGACTAACCACAACGGGTGCACAATGTATCTTTTATTCAATGTTGGAAGTTAACTTTCACACAGTCTACCTGAACATAAATGCGTTCCTATTTCAGGACGAGCTGAAGAAGCTTTATGCCCAGCTGGAAGTCTACAAACGTAAGAAGATGCTCGCCAACAACCCTCACCTTCAGAAGAAGCGCAACTCCAAGAAAGGCCTGGGCCGCTCCCTGATGAAACGGATAACGGAGATCCCGGAGACCATGCACATCCACCGGCAATGCAGCCGGGACGACGGCAGCGAACACGGCAGCAACCGCAGCACCTTGAGGAGGAATCCGTTTGAGCCGAGCCACCACGGTGAGAATCCGCCCTTTTAGTCTGCTCAGGGTGACGGCAGCAGCGTGGAAATTAGAAGAGCCTGTTTCTGAGTTTCACTTTTAAACTGGAGCGCGTTAATGTTTTCATATTGTTCGAGCCTGCAAGTCTTTTAAACTAACTTGTGTTTTCAAACTCAGCATAGTTTGTTAATAATACCGTGCTTACCTGCGAGCGTATTCTACTTTCCTGATTCAGCAAGTAACCAGGTTCTCTGGCTTGTTCTTCTACTTGCAAGAAATGGAGAAATAAGCTGTGTTAATGCCTTTGTAATATGAATGCCCCATTGAAAACATTTAGAACCACCAGTTCATGAAAAGCTGTAGACCTTTTTCACAGCAGACATTTTGACTTGTCATAGCAGGAAAATCTCATTAAAGACCCCCACCGATGAAAGACAAGATTTAGCTTCTCAACATGTCCATATGTTGTTGTTTTTTCTGTGTATACTGAATGTCATATCATGACTGACTGCACAGTTGAGTATCTCCACCTTGAAACTTTAGTGTACCGGGGACGGTCTCGAAAACACAGATTCAGACTTCTGAGGTTTCATATGTAACAAACCTTAAGGAAACCAATCCTGTCCATTTGCAGGGTTGGATTTTCTGGTTTCTTCTTCTTCTTCAGAATCTATGTCCAGCTCAAACATGTATGACTGAGTTACTCCAGAATTGCAACTTGACATTGTGTAGCATAGAGTAGTTTTACAGTGTTAAGGCGGAGTTGTAGGTGAGCTGGTGTGCTCAGCTGCAGTGAGCGGCTGTGAAGGGGGGGTGGAGGAAAAAGTTAGAAACTTCATTGTTCTGCAGATTCTAAAGAAAGAAAGCAATGGTGTCAAGAAATATGTAACATTTGATATGCAGAGTTTAGTTTTTAGGGGTTTAATCAATGATCAGACTTTATTAACATATAACATTAACAATAACTCTACTGAATTATCACTTATATCAGCATGATCAGCACCAACATACTTGGATTAAACCAGCTAAAATATTTCACCCATCGTTTTTTTTTTTAAATTTATTTCTGTGATTTTCAATAAAAGCAGAAAACGGTCAGCTTCATTCAGAGGCTGAGCTTCATTCAGAGGCTGAGCTACATGCTAGCATCAGCATGCTAACATTCTAAACGAGTAGCAGGTACAGGCTGCGTCCAAAATCATCCACTTACTCCCTACTCACTACCTAGGAACCACTATATAGGGAACACCTCGGCAAGGTAGCATTTCAAACACTACTCGAGCTGTTAATTACATTAGTCGTTCGCTAGCCATGATTTGTGCCGCAGCAGAGTAGTGCAAACACATCAAAGTCACAGTTTAATGCACAGCTAAGAAACGGGTACAATAAAATTCAACAAAACAAGAATTTACTTACATTTTAATGATAAGTTTTCGCCCTCTCGTTCATCTAGTTTCCTTTCACCCAATGCATGATGGTCCATATTGCTAAGGTAGTGACCATCAGCTGTACACTGCTTGTCACGGTGCATTGTGGGATATTTTGAGTGCACCATAAAGGGTGTAACAGTTGTAACTTAACATTCAGACAGGACTACAAAATGACAAAGGTGTAGGGTATGGTGGGTGATTTTGGACACAGCCATAGCGTTTACCGAGGTCGCCATCGTAGTTTAGGGTGTACGAGCTTATCCACAAAGTGCAGGTGAAACTGTTGAGTGTCAGAATGTCGCAGGTGTTTAGTTACAGTTCATCCTGCAAGAGACGTAAAAGTCAGATGAATAACTGACATTTTATTAAAAACTATGAATGTCAACCTCACAGTGGTGCCAGAAAAGTCAGAGGATCAGTTATTAGGATCCATCTTCAGAGAACCATAAATTATTGGAACTTTATCCAATAGCTGAGATGTTTCAGTCTGGAACAAAGTGTTGTCTGAATAATAGACAGACTAATTAGCTGGTTAGAATGAAACAAACTTCACATAAACTAAATAAACAGACTGAATCATCAGTGTTATTATTTTGAAACCACAAGTACCTACTTTTAACGAGTCTACTGATAAATCCTCCCTCAGGAAAACCTCGAGATGACTCCCTGAAGAACAAAGTCATGGGCTTGAAGAAGTCCCTCAGCTACGACCACGTCTGCGACCAGGATGAAGAAACCGGAAGCCAAACCGGCTCAGCTGCAGGAGACAAGATGACCCCTGTCGGAGGCGGTGGGGAAGGATCTCTTCTGGGTTCCCTCATCGGCCGCAAACATGCCAAGAAGCAGCTGGAGCCGGCTCCGACTCCACCGAGGCTGGAACCGGCCGAGTCCACCGAGTCCGTGCCGCTGTTCTGGAAATCAGCCAGCGCTCACAACCTGACGCACGAGAAGAAGCCTGTGCACCTGCGCACCTCCATCATGCAGAAGTCTCTGAGCGTGATCGCCAGCGCCAAGGAGAAGATGCCGGGACTCACCAACAAGACTCAGAGCGTGGAGGACGCCAGCAAGAAGGGCCTGAAGGGGCAGGAGGGGAGGATGCTGTCGGAGGTGGACGAGACGCCGGAGCATTACCCCAAGATGATCATCAGCCAGTCGGTGGAGTACTCCAAGACACCCATGAAGATGGGCATCATGAAGCAACAGGTACGACTGCACACATTTACAGTGATCCCTCAGATTTATTCATCCCCTTCCATTAAAGAAATGGCAAAATTCACAATACTCACTCAAATAAGTAGAAAATGGAAAAAGTAATAATAAATAAAAATTTGCTAAAATATGATTTAGTAAAATAAGACATTGCTTTTGAATTGTGGTTGAAAACAATAATTTAAAAAAATAAATAAAAACAAACTGTCCCAGACAAATTAGAGCACTTTGCTGATGAGCAGTGAAATTAAAATGTAATATTTCTGTTGAACCACAATTCCAAACCAATGTCCATCCATCCATCATCTATACACCGCTTAATCCTCACTGGGGTCACGGGGGGCTGGAGTCTATCCCAGCCGCCTCAGGGTGAAGGCAGGGGAAGCAACGTCATGACTTTCATTATATTTATTGTTACTTTTGTCAATTTCAACTTATTCCACTGACAGCTGTTTTTTTTCCTTCTTTAATGGGAGGGTATGAACACATTAGAGGATGACTGTACATTCCTAATGCAGGGTGAGGTATGATGTTGTGTAGCTTCAGTGCTGACGCAGTAAAATCATTGAGCACGCTGGCATTAAGGAGTATTTGTGATGATTGATTATTCGTTAGTCTTTTTAGGAGGGAAAAAAGTCAAATGTTCTACGTTTTCACCTCTCAAATGTGAAGATTTTGTGTACTTACTTAGTAAATATCATTATAAATAAAATCATTGTTTGAGTAAAAATGTCATCTTTAACTTTGAAAAAAAAACAAAAAACTCATTATGAACGTACTGGCTTCTTTGGAGGTTGGACTGCATTACCGTGGATGCTCTAATGAGTGTTAGTGAGGAAGAGGAGATTGTGCAGGTGGATGCTGAGGGCCAAAGGATGCAAAGACCAGAGAGATGCCAAATTAGCTGGAACCACAAAGTATTGGCATCGCTGTCTAAATGTCTGGCCAGGCTTTTCACTGGGTAGCTGCTGTACAGACAGGCAGGGGAATCTGAGACAGAGAGCAGCAGAGTTGGCTGAGAGTTGAACTGGAGTCAGCTGCTGAGAGATTCTGACTATGTGGTCGGTGCCTTCAGCATTTGGCCACTGGTTGAGTCTTTACACCTGCATCAATTAAAGTAGCAGACACAAGATAGTACCCAAGTTTGACAACTTTTTTCCAATCCATTTTACTCAAGTAGTGCTGCAGAGTGAAAACAGGAAATGTAGGAAGAAGCGCAGAGGAATGACACTGACCAGACACAGAACGATGTATTAGCATTCATTCAGAGTCATGTTTCTGGCCTGCGGGTAAATATAAGGCAGATATTCACTCAGAGTCCTGAGGGGGAGAACTGTTTAACTCTTTAGCTGCTTAATGATCTCTGCTGTGTTCATCAGGTAGCTGCAAACTTTGCATACAGATATTTCTGCTGTGAGAGTAAAAACTTAAACTGTAAAACCAAGCTAGAAGAAACTCCACTGAGGAACTACAGAGTCGGGCGATATGTAAATTTAAGGACTTGTTACTTATAAGGGACCGTTTGCTCCATAGTTTTGCTTGAGTTTAATGTATAAATTAGGATTACAGTAGTGACTCAATAGTCTGACCCTTAACAATCCTAAACCTTTCTATCCGACAGGTTTTTTAGGAAAAACGAACGGAGCCCATTAAAAACAGCCTTAACATACTGACAGCCTTGGATTCCGACTCTGACATGATATTTTATGTCACAAGTCAGGATAACAGTGTATTATCTGACTGAACAATCCCACAGATTGGCTACGTTCACACTGCAGGACTTGATGCTACATTCGGATTTATTTGTGAAATCCGATTTTTTTGCGAGTTCCTTCACATTTCCAGTTAAATGCGACTTGTATGTGATCTGCTGTGTGAACTTCATACGACCCAAAAGTGTCCCGCATGCGCCGAAGAGGACACGATGACGTCACACACACAGCGAGCATGCTCAGTATTTGCCGCATTAAACACAGATGGTAACGGCACTCCCCCGCCGCCACCAATGGTGGAAACAGAAGTGTGAGCGCTAACTAAACTACCATCAGCAGCCAAGTACTGCCTGTGCATTCCGGCCACTTCCACCCCGTCTGAGCGCTCCCCCGGGGTGGAAGTGTCCCCCAGCCGCGCCGAATATTTGGATATTCATCATTAATTGGATCTGTGTTGTTCAGGCTGTCATTTAAAGACCAGACACAGGTCGCATAGGAGAAGAAAAAAAAAATCTGATTTGGGTCACTTCATCCTGCTGTCTGAACGTATTTACCTTTGATGTCAACCAACGAGCCCGTTCACTATCGCACCGGTCAGTGAGGCTGAAATCCAGCGATGCGTAGTGTTCTAACAGTACACTAGTTATTATAACAACTATGAACAATGAATATTAACAACTAATGAGCCTTCCAGCATCAAGCCCTCCTTGTATCTGGACCTCCGTCTTGACAATCCGACAGCCTTGATATCCGACATAAAAGAAGGTTTTACATTTAGAGTCAGATTATTGAATCATGACTGTATTTATCATATCGTAGCGTCTGAAGCTTAATGTTGAAACTTGTCAGGTAGATTTGTAACGTCAATCTTTTTTCTCTACGGGGAAGCAATTTGCGTCAACATCTGCTGTTTTAAACGTCGTATAAATGACTGGACTTGACATGAGTGTAGGCGGTTGATGCAGCTACTGTAAAAAGTATTGATTATGTCAGTGTTAAGTTACAGGAAGTCAGCACTCACCACAAACCATTAAGGTCTCGGCTGGTGCATGTTGAACCTCACCGTGTGTGATGTATAGCGCTGGATTTGAAGCAGAGATACACTATGGGATGTTTTCTATTTATACATTTTAAAAATGATTTACTTTATAGATAAGTATGTAATTCTGTCGACCCCCCAAATATTAAAAATAGTGAAAAAATTAGAGGAAAAACATGATTTTGTTTGTATCGAAAAACAATTATTTATTCTATTTTCTAAAATACAAAATGCTGAATTTCTAAAAAATGTATTGATCACACAATGACAGTGTTCATCCGTGTGTTTGGAACAGGCAGCCAGAATACGATAATATAGTAATACATATAATCAGAATTAAGTATTAATTATAATTAGAAATAATTAAATCATCACTACAGTGTGGGAGGTACAAATACCGTGTAACTCTGTCAGATTTGGACATTTGCCATCAAATTAATCTCAAAGAAAATGCAGCAATATCTTTGAATTGCAAATATTAAGCTCATCTGAGCATTTGTGAGTTATGCAGCAATAATGACAGTAAATGGATGAAACATTCCTGTATGAGGAAACTACACATTTATGGCGGCATTCATGGTTTATTTTATGGACACAGTGAATGAATAAGACATCTATGAAGCTATTTAACTTTTTTCAACTCATTTTTGGTTCCTATTTATAAAAGAAACCCAAAAAATACAGTAAAGCAATAATTTAATCAATATGTTGAATAGATGGGAGAAAAATAATAGAATTATAGGAAGAGATGTTGTTCTTCCTTGTCGCTCATTGTTTTATGTTTGCAACTTGATTAAAATGCTGTGCACTTC